CCACAACAGTTCCGTGTTCATTTCCGCAACAGAATAACCGAAAATACGTTTAGAAGTTTCTTCATTTAACTCTGTGTTAGTGTTGTGAGGTTCGGACGGACCCACTTAAAGTTTTCTATTTTGGCTTTCCTCGTCTCTGAAAAATAAACTGTTCACAGAGTGAATATATTTAGAAGCTCTATGCATAAGCTGGGGAATATGATTTTGCGGCAAAATAGATTTTAAAGAAATTAATAATTGGTAGTAAAATCCGAAGACACATATCTTATACTAACTAAATCTAGTATGAAAAAACTACCTACTCAGCAGCTCAACAGTATGGTAGTATAAAGATATAGTGGTATAGCGGTATAAGGATGTAGTGATATAGTGGTGTGAGCAATATACTGAGTGTGACGATAATGATATCGTCTCTTTCTGTTCTGTATACTCTCACTTCTCTGTTATGTTCTCTCTTGTTCATCTCTCTCTCTTCCTCTCTCCATATAAGCGTGTCTTATTGCGAAGTTAACACATTCTGGTTATGTAGAGTAGTCAATAAACATCTATACCGTGAGATAGCGGTCAGCTACTCAACCAGTTTGTCGTTACACTGAGGTTCTAGGGAATAACTATTTCCAACTTCCACGCTTGACACTACGGATACCCAGGACGATGGTTCCTAGAGCAGGATTCCATGAATTTCGACAAGATCCCTGAGGAAACTCGCCATTTCTGAGCGGACCCCCCCCCCCCCAGAAAATGTCAGGAATTCGATGGAGAAATGTGGTAACAGCTTCCAGCTACTGGTTTTGACATGTTCCTGTCGGTTCAGGCCCAAACCAGATAAATTTGGTCACCAGATCCGCTCATCGGGAATACCGCTATACCACTGTCCTTATATCGCTTTATCACATATAGTTATACACGATAAGGTACAAAGATACAAACAATGGGGAAAATTGATTGAACGCGATAATTGCAATTTGTTCCATTATTATCAATGCTTCGACTGATAGAGACTACATATTCTGCCTCGTTTGAATGAACTTGTATTTATCGCGAAGTAGCCTTTTTTGCCGGCTTTGTAGTTAAAATATTGACACTGATTTGAATTTGGCGCAAAATCAAATTTCCCATTACCTTGCTCTATGTTGAAGTAGAACAACAACTAAGCGAATTCATCTTATCTTTGACGTTTTAGAAAGATTTTTGAATAGTCGAAATTTGCGAAAAATAAGGTTGGTAACGGAGGGTTGGCTGTAGTCTTCGTTTTCAGCATCTACCTGGAGAATTCAGTGAAAAATCAGCACGTCGATCAGTGAAGTGTGAGGAATGAACAACATTCTAAAATGAGAAAATATAAGTAACTCTATGAACAGAATTATATTGAAACTGTATGTTTAAAACTGGTTCGCAATAAGTATTGTAATGCCATTGGTAGAGTGACACGGATACAGACGAGCCCTACGAGGCAATCGAATGTTTTTTCCCCAACCATATGAACAATCGAAAGTAGGATTTGTTTATACACAAATGCACAATGGATTTCGCGAGCAATTCTATCCCACTGATGCGTCTCCATTCCTACTTTCAGTATTTGATAGGATCCTTTAAGCTTGGGCTAAACGCCATGCACAGCCGTCTGACAGATGCTAATATAACATCTCCATAGCTACGTGCACGGGGTCAGTTTTTCATAATCTCAATCTGTCGCATTCGCTTTTTTTTCGTAAATTATTCTATCGATGAATCGAGAATTTTAATAACTGAGTGTATGCTGTTCTATGTAAAATATACATATCGAGTAATTCAGCGATGGTATTGTCAAAAGGTTCCATTTTTATCAGTATGAAATGATGGTCTAACACCATGCACTCTCTTACCTTCTATTATCTTTGATCTATTCTCTTCGTTTTCAATGAATAGATTACTTGCTTCAGAAAATATGAAAAAATCATACTTTTTCGTTTCATTCGTACTGATAAGTTGCATTTCTTCTAGGAAAAAGACCTATAATGAACTACGAACAGAAGTAGATTCATTGATATCAACGAAATTAAGTATGGATCAGAGCGATGACTACGCTCTTACTTGCCTCAAACTTAGCTTGAAGAAATCTATAATAAATAAATCCAATAGGCAGTGAATAGAGATTCAAATAGTGGCAGTTTCTAGTCACGAACGCTAGTAGGTTACTTTTGGTATTGTTAAAATAAGTGAAATGATTATTTCATATTTTCTGAAGTAAGTGGGCGTATATCTGTTGATTGAAAAGGGAGAGAATAGATAAAAGGTAATATAAGATAAAAAAAGAATATACTGGTATGCGTGTCAACCATGACTGACTCTTTCTCTACAGTTGAAGAAAAAGATGAAGAGAGATAACCCGTCTGTCATAATGTGTTATCTCTCTTTCTCTTCCTCTCCCTGTCTTAGGGTACAATTTTTCTGTCGATAGTGACTTATAAGCGAATTGCGGACATGACTCATTATTTCTTGTTTAAAGTGGTAAACGAAAAAGACAACGAGGCGAAAAGAGTTCCATATGACTCTTGCGTTGCTGTCAAGTCTTCGATTGTAGTATAGGTTAGAAGCTTGCCATAAACGATGCTTCAGATTTTAGTGTTGATTCGATCGTCAAACTAAATATTAAACTTCTAGTTATAGTAATGAGTGATACTTGGGTTTCTAGAACTGGTGTTAGGCATTCCTATGCTGTGGACTCCAATAAACAGAGGTGAGTGCTATCGCGTTCTTCACTATCAGTACCATACTCGGATTTAACATACGAAGAAAAAACGAAAAACTTATTCGATAGATACGTCGTTGATTATCTGTAGGAAACTTTGATAAAAAATAAATTCCTAGGTATATGGATTCATGAACACTGATTTTCGTTGTGAAGAAATCATGATTTACTAAACAATGTTGTGCTGAACTGTGTAATTCAAACGGGAGAATGGCTCGATAAGAGATCGCGAATCTTACGAGATGAAAAAGTATTTTATTTAAACCGTTTTTCCAATGTCAATAAGAAAAAAGAAATGCGACGTTATTAGAAACGAAGTGTAAAACTGTATCGTGTATCAATAGGATTCAGTTGGAGAAATATGCGCAATAACATTGCCTTTTGTTTGCCCTCTTGCGATATGTGGATAAAAAAATGAAAGCTGATAAGTAATAGGATAGTGGAAGAAATACGAGAAAATTTCGAATTTAAAGTAAGTGTCTATCGGATCGAAATTTTATACGGTAGGTAATCAATCCATTTTGGATGATACTGTCATAGTGAGTTTTTTTTTACAAGATATTCATACTCTATCAGCCGGACGAGAAAGAAGTGCAGAGAAGATGATGTCTTGTACCTGAATCATGTTGTACTGTCTGATGACTTCGGATAAAATTCGACCATTCAGATTCAAAACTATTGTGAATACTAATTTGTATCTAGAACACTAATAATAAGAATGATTTTAAATTTTAGAGGAGATGGCATTACTTGATTACCAACCAACGACTCAATCCATACCAAATGCATCTAGCGGTAAGAGATTTCTATTTACATTTTGTAGCTCGTTGTACACTAAGGAAAGTTTTAATTAACAACAAATATATACATCGGTAGCAAACGGTGGAAATATGTTGTTTATGTTTGATCATGTTGTCAGCATTGCTTATTTAACGGACAAAGTTTAACCGAACTGCTTTGTCAGTTGCAAAATTCATAGTCATGTAATTGAAGGTTGGAAAAAATGTCAATTTCTTTTCTGAAGTTTACGCCAAGTGACTAACATTTCACCTTCACATGAACATGCGCCAGTAAATATCCTAAGTATACAAACATTATAAGTTTCAACATCACTCTGAGAAAAAGATTGAGTAAGTTAATACACTTACGAACTGTTCTTATCAGTTAATGAATAACAGTCTTTTCCAAGGTTCGTTTTCTGAAATTACTTTTTTTTAAAAGTGTTTTATAGTGTTAAATAGTTGAGAAGTAATATAACTAATATTCTCAGCTCAATTGAGCGAATACAGAAATTTAGTCAGCATTTTCGCATTACCAGATTGAATTGTAACTGTGCCACTCATGTACGAAGAAACAGCATCTACCAGAGAAGTAGGGGAGACATATAAGTCGTCAGTTGAAAGTTTTCTCGCGAAAACCAGTAACTACGATGCAACTCATTAAAATACAAATCAGTACGATTCCTTTGAGTTTCTATATTGAAGACCTATACATAGGAAAAGGTTCAAGTCTCGTCTTCGATCTTTATCATTCTCCAGCTCTGAAGAATGTCATTGGAAAAAGTTAACCGAAGTCGCCAGATCCGTTCTTCCTGAATTTTGCTTTTAAAGTGCAGCATACACTGGAACAGATTTTATTACATGCTGTAAAATCTATTTTGCCGTTGGGTTTTCTCTGCATCCGTACGGATGATTCCGCGGTAAGCAGGGTGCTTCTAGAGACTTTTGTCTTCATGTGGCGAAATAAATAAATGCAATAGTTTTCATCTGCACAAATGATGTTTTGTTTGTCAAGCATAGAATCAATCTGATTCGATTCTCAAGGATAAGTAAATTTGTCAAAGAGAATTGCTTTTACAATGAAAGAGAATCAGAAAAAATTCACATGAATGTGTTCCCTAAACATTGTCCCGAATTTAACGACATTTTCGTTTCAGGTGTCCAACAACGAAATCCAATAGTTCCAATTCGAAATGGTATTTGGACTACAGTGGGAAATTTACATCGTGCATTAAATATACATTAAATAAATTCGGCAAGAGATCTGAGTGTAAAATAAAAATTTCTGATCAAAGAATTAGCACAAGAGTGTTGATGTTCTTAACCTCGTTGATTTCATTTTCCACTGATAGTTAGAAAGAAAGACGAATTGAATCTGGCACGTATATTTCGCAATCAAAAAAAAACCTATTCACATGCAAAAGAGAAAAAAAATGGAAACTTTAATGGACAATGAGCAAAAATCTCTCCTCTCGTTTATTAAGCATCAGTTAATGTAACTTGTTCATCTGCAGTTTTTTCTGCCAAAATTCATTATGAATAATCACAGCATCACATTGAATTGAGAAATGTTTTATGGGAATATTTGTAAAACGTTTACCGCCAGAATTGTATTTAAACCATTTGTCGACCATCACTTCGGTTATGATATTCGGACCAATACCATGCAGTTTTTCAATCATATCGGTTTCTGCTATATACATATAAACCGCACGAAATTGTAGACGATGATCACGAAAGAGAAGGACAAAATGTCGAGCTTCACTTGCTTCAATTTCCTAAGAAGAAGGTCAATGTCAATGAGAAAGTATGAAAATGTATCGAATTACTCGAATCATTATTTCACGTTGCCGTTCATTAGCGGGTCCGGCTAGAGCAACTTGTTTCAAAGAATTGATAATAGCATGTTTGTTCGATTTGGTTGTTAATAATGTTTGACTTCGTGTAAGACGTGCACCTAGAATAACAAAGATTTTCTTTTCCTTTTTTATTTCCGAAATTGATCGTTTCTTACTCGTTGCTGAAGTAGCTAACGATGTCAGTGATTCACAACATGAATCATCCATAATATTTATCGCCCGTTTCTTCGGTGTGTGCAATTTTGAAAGATTCATCAAACTTCCACCAAATAGACTTCGCGGTAGAATGGATTTAGTGTTTAGTGAGGGTGACGAATCGTAAACTCCATTGATACTCGAAATACTTGCTGCTCGATTCATCTTGGATTTTGACGCCGTTGTCGGTGCTGTTATACTTGGCGACATAGGTTCGAAACGTGTTGAATTACTTCTCGGTTTCAGTGGATAACTTAACGAACCCGTACAACTGAGATCATCATCCAATGACAGGAACGACGTTATCGATGATTTACGTTTTAACCGATTACGAGTTCGAGCTGCAGCAAAGTAATAATCGTTTGATGATGGAGGATCCGCTTCAGCTCGTTTTTGTTCGAGATGAGCTTGCAAAATGTTTGACCGGCGTTGCTCATCTTCTTGTCGTCGTTGTGCAAGATATTCTTCAAACAAACGATACTCGTCGAAGTTTTCAGCCGCTTCAGCTTGTCGTTCAGTTCGTTTGCTTAAAAGTTTTTCATGACGTTGAGTTTGCCGACGAAGCAACGCTTCCCTCTTCGCTTGCATTCTTTCTAAATCCTTCGACTAATCGACAGAAGAAGATCAGATCTCAATATGATCGTAGATGAGTGCTCTTACCGACAACGGTGCACCAATAGGCACGAAGACTGGATCTTCAAAACACGGATGCTCGTCCGCGTCCAAATGACTATTTTCAGATTCTAAAGTAGAAAAGAAAACGAATGCGTCATTGTCAAATCTAAACTGATTCTTACCACTTAATTTCGTGGTTTTCTGTTGACGTTCTTTTGAGAATCTCTTTATTTTGTCTTTAATATCATTTAGTTCAGCGTTTAATTTATTGAGAACAGGCGCCGATTGATACTGTATTTTACTCGATGTTGTTTCACCTATTCTTTTGAATGACGTGATTAGCGGTGGCTTCATGGCAACATCAGGCATTTCACAATCAAATTGTTTTCTCCATAATTCTCGTAGAATTTGCATAATAGCAAGCATTTCCTCCTTACTTAAAGGCTTACTTAAATCGATAATCGCAGGATTTTTACTGGATAATTCATGCGGATCATCATGATGCGTCGTTTTTGTTCCATCACTTAGACCCGAATCACTTGGTGATTCTTCGACAAGACTGGGCAAAATCAACGGTGCATTGAGATAATTCGGAGATGAATTAAAAAGATAACTATTCAAATTGGACGACGAAGATAAACATTCGTCGTGCGAATGATAAGCATTCTGCATTATAAGAAGAAACAAAACCCAATAGATTTCACTTTCCAATCGGTTGTATGCTTACCTCAAGTGCTACGGGCGAAGAAAGAGGAGGAGATGATGATGAATGATCTCCTACTAGTGATGTTGTTTGATGCACTTGATCCGATAAAGAAGGAGCATTTAGAGGAACAATCGTTGGCAGAAGTGAAGGTGATGCAGCGGACGACACATGACGATATGAACGTTGTTTTTTCGCATCAAGTAAAGCTCTGAAAAGACAAAACAAGATGAGGATATCTACACTTCAAATCATCGATAGAATGCTTTTCTATTGTGTTCATTTCACGTATGATTGATCACACAAAGTTTCCATTCAAGCGGCATGTCTTCTCTTTGTTGAATACCTTTAAACTCCTAAATGTCGTTAACATCGATTTTTCTATAGAATCAATCAGTCAATGAATTATTATCGAGGTGAACTGAATTGAACATACGTATACACATTCATTCATATAAATATACATGTTATGCAATTCAGTATAGATTTCAAAAGATGTAAAAAAGTACCGGAAAATATTCATTATCGATGCCTATTATGAATAGTTCTCGTCAATAGTACTTTCGTTCTGACGTAAGAGTGATGAATTGTAATTGAACGTCAAAGGTAATTAGATTAAACTAATTGAACTTACCGAACTCGATTTAGTTTCTCTTGTAGATCATTGTTGTTGTTGTTGTTGTTATTATTATTATTGATGTTGTGATTCTGAATAACGTATGCAGGAAATGATAAATCTGAACTCGCAGGAATTATTGTTGTACCATCCGACCGTGTCTTCGCTTGGGCTTCCCATGTGGTCATATGAGAATGTGGACTGGCTCTGGCTGGAATCTTAATGATTGATATGGTGGTTGTTGAGCCAGTTGTTGTTTTAGTTCGATAGTCATAAGTGGCAGAAAAATACTCGTTAGCTCTCTTTTGATATTTACCATGACTTTGAGCAATCCAGCGTGAAACATAACTTGTTGGAGCATTGACGTCAGGATTGGATGTACTAACAACAGTCGTCATTCTCGTCCGCGTGTTCAATTCGAGTTCCTTTTCTTATACGATATTGGTGAGATAGATATTACCTAGAAAAGATATGTAGACAAAACAGATATTTTCGATATGGTTTAACAGACGACATATATAAATATGTCACATAACAGACAAAAGAAGTAAAGAAAAAGTATAACCATGATCAAGAGCGAGGGAAAGAAAACGAATAATACATATACACAGAGAGAAAGAGAGACAAAAGACGATATGGGAGCTATTTGAATAAGATTATTCTCAGGTGAGAATTCACGTATGTCGAGAACAGCAAGAATTGCCTCTATATTAAGCTCATCTCTTGTTCAAACTGAACGATTGAGCACTAATTCGTGTATGTGTATGTCTATGTGACGTGATGAAATGATGCAATGAAAAAAAAATTCGATATTCATATGAATAAAAATGAAAACGGCGAGGGAAGTATGACTTGTTCGTTTCATTTTTTTTCTATGAAGAAGACTTTTCTCCGATGTCATTTGAACAAGGTTCTTCCCCGTTACAAACTTCAAACTACTGTAACAAATTAGTCAATGTTGAACGAATCAAGTTAACCAAATAACAACAGATAGTACAGTTCATGAAAAGAAAGAAAAACGACTGCTGTTGCTTTAATTTCTCTCATCAAAATTATATATGTACAACATATATGAGGAGAAAATCAAGGTAATGAAGACCTTGATTTCTCTCTTTTCTTGTGTATGCACGCGTGTTCGTTTTTTTTCTCAATGATTTTCCTCCTAGTTAATAATATTCTATCGGACTCATTTAATAGACAATGATAGACGTCAATGACACGAAATTTTTATCTGTCAGAAATATCTTCTATTTGTCTATTATATACTCGATCAATTTCAATTTGCGAGACACACTCATGCATAGAAAGTGCGTGTGTGTGATCGATGTTTGCTTCATTATTTCATCAGAGATCTATGTTTTATAAGGAAAGTATGTTTTTGTTTAGAAGTGTATGTTTATATATAAACATCGAACATACAGAGATGACCTTCTCAAGTTTCCGTTCTCTTAAAACGAAGCAAAACGATGATGAGTAAGTTCGATTGCGCCGCGCAAGAAGAGAGAGAGAGAGGGGGGGGAAGGGAGAGTGAAAAAACGGAGAGTAAAGGCAAGACAGTAACAACAGTGATTCAAATATTCTATCTACGGACATGAACGGTAATAAAAGTAAAAAGAAATGAAAGAAAATGCATGTCATTAAATTTCAATCGTAGTATTTTATTGAAAATAATCGTTTGATTAAATCTTCCTACTGAACGAGAAGAGAAAAGCAATCACTAACAATGATCGGACTACTTTTGATCTTTTCTTTGATGGATCAAGTTCTGACCTTTGAATACCTATGCAGATCGAACGATGAGTAAAATGGTCAGTAAACTATCTCTCTCTGTGTATGCAAGTCTCATCGTTCTATTGAATACAAATAAGTGTCGCGCTCGAATGAGCCGTCGGCTACTGCGGTTCTAAATAGATGGTCTATAATGAGTTTAATCGAAAAGATATATATGTACATATAATGAAATGAGAATAATTTGTATACAGAACATATATACATGTGCAGGTCTGAACTCGAATAAAAGAGCGTCATTTATCTGTAATAGCTACACGTGTGAATATGAAGAAGGAGGTCGGCAGATAGAAGAGAAGGATACACCTTACATGAACGTAAGGAATAGTATGAGTGACTGAACATTAAAGAAGAAGAAGAAGAAGAAAAGGTTGAACAAAAAAAAACGAAGAGAAAGTGTTGGAGGGGTCGAACATCAAACATCGAGTTCAGATGAGTATAGCAGTACTTGTAACAAATATAACCTTGTAGTTACGATACGGATTTTAAAGTGTGTATGGAGTCATATATGTTTACAATAGGAAAAAGAAATGATATAATTTTCAAATAAAAAAAATTCATTTTGATCAAATGATGATACATATCAATAGTGCTAGTTTTTGTTCGCATCACAGCAATCGGCATTGATAAATCAAAGCGAAATTTTCAATTAGCTTTTTTTCGAAGCAGTAAGTCTGCGCTTATTTCAGCGTTTTCTTGCATTGTTAGGCGAATGTATGATCGCATACGACATCTGCACCCATAGATTTATTCTCGGATCGAGCGAAGATAAGTTATTTATAATAACCAATGAGGAAGCCGAAAACAAAAAACAACAACAAAAGACAGAGAAAAAAAAGGAAAGAAAAAGTTCTTCATCTATCCTTTCGATCTTTCTTTGTCGTTCTTTCGCTGAATACCAATTTTCCTTCGTGTTTTACGTCATTATATTATTCACATTTCCCACTGATCCACAAATAGCTCGACGATGGATTCGACAGTCGCGCCCGGCACTTTAAACATTCCACAAATAGTATGTCGAAATCAATTACTTGCAGTATACTTAATTATATTTCACATAGATTCGCAGTGAAACACGTTTACGTGAAACGACCTATCGTTTAATAATTTCCCAATTATTCTATGATGGTCATCAACAATTAGCTGTATCGCTTTCCAATCTTTTGCAAGTAAGATTCGAATGCAATCACACTCTAGTTTTGGTTCTTATCAACTCCGTTTTTTCCTCTGAAGACATCTCCGCCATGTCCACCGTCAGATCGATTAACTCACATTGTTCGACTCGGTTTAAAAGCTGACGAAGAGCTAGAACAAGCACAAAAATCATCGATCGTTGTTGCTGAAAACGTCCAAGATATAGGTAGGGAAAATCATCGTTGTCGCTCGAAAAGAAGCACGTAGAAGATTTCTTTCTAGGTCTCGATTTTGATTATCAATCTGATTCACCCATTACTAGTCCAGATGCTGGCTCGTACGAAACATTTTATGTCACTGCTCACAAAGCACCTTGCCGTGCAGCTGCTTTCGATGCAACTGGATCGATTATCGCTACCGGTTCAGTAGATGCATCGATTAAAATTCTTGACGTCGATCGGTATGAGAAAAATCAGCTGACGAGCATCGTCCCTATTCATCTACATGAATCTTCGCTTTTAGAATGCTTATTAAAAATAGTTTCGGTCTAGACTATGCACCGTCTTCCATCGAACCAGCTATGGATAATCATCCAGTCATTCGAACGCTCTATGATCACGCTGATGAAGTCACATGTCTGGATTTTCATCCATTCGATCCAATTCTTGCATCAGGCTCACGTGATTATACAATAAAATTTTTCGAGTACGCTAAATCAACAACGAAAAAGTCGTTTCGCACAATCAAGGAAGTTGATCAGATACGTTGTTTAAGTTTTCATCCAAGCGGTGACTGGTTAATTGTTGGTACACAGCACCCTGTGACACGTTTGTATGACGTGGAAACAGGCCGATGCTTTGTCTCAACTCAACCGCAAGATCAGCACACCAAAGCGATAACTTGTGTCAAATGGGCACCGAATGGAAAACAGTTTGCTACATCGTCGAAAGACGGTTCATTCAAAATTTGGGATGGTGTAACAAATCGTTGCATAAATACATTCGATGGTGCACATAATAGTGAAGAAGTTTGCTCAGTAGCTTTCACAAAAAATTCCAAGTATTTGTTGACCAGTGGGAAAGATTCACAAGTTCGTCTGTGGGAATTATCCACAGCAGTAAGAATATCATCCCTTCTTTCAAACTTACTCTATTCGATTTGTACTTTTAGCGTTGTCTAATCCACTATACCGGCGCTGGTACATTAGCTAAGCAAGAACATCGTGCGACTTGTGTTTTTAATCATACAGAAGATTATATACTCTATCCTGATGAGAAAGCGACCTCGTTATGTTGTTGGAATTCGCGTAATGCTGAACGACAACGTCTACTGGGTTTAGGCCATAATGCTCCTGTAAAATGTATTGTACATAGTCCAACAGCACCAGCTTTTGTCACATGTTCCGATGATCATCGTGCAAGATTTTGGTGTAAAAGAACATTGTTTGGTGACTAAAATGAATAGGAATATGTTTTTTCTTTCTTTCTTTTCTGTTATTGTTATATCAATATTCATCTTTTGTATGTTTTTTTTT